GAAGCTACTCTGAGGCTCCGAGGGAAGGGCGGGGTATAAACCCAAGTGTTTTTCTTCTTCTTTCTTCCCTTTACTAGGCAAACGATATTGCTTTGGGGAGCGGCTGGCCCGCATGGAACTTTTCCTTTTCTTCACCAGTATCCTTCAGAACTTCCGCTTCAAATCTCCGATCCCAACAGAGGAAATCGATATCTCCCCCATGCTGGTCGGTTTTGCCACCATTCCTCATTTTTATAAAATCTCCATGATCCCACGCTGAAGGACAACAGACGACACCGACAAAGCCCTGCTTTGTCACAACTGAATTTGGCCATTCAAAGAACAAAAAAACATGGGAATGGGAAACATTCAAAAAAGTTTTATCCCCCCACATCCTTTTAATTCATATTAACTGTGTTTCCTCCCATGCTAACCAATACTAGTTGGAGAAATAAGCATGGAAAGTGTTAGCACCACATTCTTGCACACCTGAGTCAATCCACAAGCACTGGAATCGGTATGGGCACATTTCCTCCGCACATCTGCCCTCCTTCTGTGTTTTTAAAGCTGTGGAGTCAGTTATTTTCTTCTACACATCACTTCAGTAATGAGGATTTTTGCCTGAAAAGTTCAGTCGGAGGTAACAGGAGTCTGGGAGTAGTAAACAAAGTCGTAAATTAGAAATAATGAACTGCACCTGTGTTGTAGGCAGTGTTCCCTCTAAGCTGAGTTAGTGTGAGCTAGCTCACAGGTTTCTAGCCTCTGGCTCACACATTTTTGTCCTAGCTCAGGAAGGACAGCTCCAGAGCAAACTGATTTATGCAGCAGCCGAATCGCTCGCTCACAGCGTTAATGCCAGTAGCTTACAAAGTGGAAACTTTGCTCACAGGACTCCACAGCTTAGAGGGAGCACTGGTTGTAGGAGTGGGAAATTCAGCCAGATACCGTCCTGTGTGCCAAATATGTGATTGGTGACTGACCAGACAAAGAAAACTGAACTGAGCATGTCAACATGATGTCAGTGATGATGTAAAGTGAGGAGGAACAAAGTGAGTATATAAGTCTGCTCCTTGCATTTGCTTGTTGAACACCCAGGCTGTAGGATGCTCCTTTATTCGAATAAACACTTTTTATTACCCTTTACTGCCTGGATGATTGTTTTCACTGTGTGGTTTATTGCCTAGCCACACAAGTCAAAGAACCTTAGCGCCTTTAGCGTATTGGCAACAAGACCAACAAAGTTTTCTTCACAGTATAAGCTTTCATGTGTATGCACACTTCCTCGGATAGCACACAAAAGCTTATACCGTGAATAAAACTTTGTTGGTCTAAAAGGCACCACCGGACTCAAACTTTATTGTTTCATGAGACAGGAATAATGCAGACACCTTGAAAGATTACCTGGTGTCCTTCGAAGAAATGAGATTGCCTTGTTACTGGTGCCTTTAAATAAGGATTAGATACATCCATAGGGGGCAGATTCCTCAACAGTTCTTCGTCATTCTAGTTAAATGGAACCTCTGTGTTCAGTAGCAGGATACCCTTGATTGTCAAGTGCAGGGACAAATTCCATTGCCCGGCCATATCTGTTGGATTTCCCTTCAGGCTGGTTTGCTGATCTAGGAAGGCCTTTGGCCTAACCTGACAGGGAAATGTACATTTTCTTATGGTACAGCAGCTGATGTTTGAGAGCATTGGATTCTAAGTCAAAGTTCAGAGGGGAAAGAAAACTGGAGAGACCACAGTCTGGAAAAGGTCTAAAGTGGCAAGCAAGCAAAAGAGCAGTGGAACGTACTGGGTTCAAGATGCGTGGTAGTGAATCAGCTCATAAGGTTTATTTCCAAGCACGAACATAAGACCAAATAGCCGGTCTGAATACCGGCTTAAATCCCCAACTAAAACCACACCCTGCTTCCCGTGATAGGTCTATACCACGTGGCCCAGATCCCATGGGTTCCATCCCACAGCTGAGCCGTCCCATTGGTCTGGTCTTGGATCCGATCTCGGTATTGTTCTCTGCTGCGAAGCTACAGCCATTCGCCTGGCCATGTGTACAAACCCTGACCGCTTGCGTGCCGTCCCTAGTCATATACAGCAAGCAGAGACTGGAACAACAAGAAGATGGATATCGAATCGAGAGAGCCACCCCCAAACCACAGGGACAAGAGCCAATGACTGGTGCCACGTCGAAAGGCTGCGCACAGAAATGTCCTTTCTCTGCAAGGCACAGTTGCCAACTCCGCTGGCTGGATCAGGTGCCAACATAAGAGCCATTTCCAAATGTGGCTGAAGATTACAGGCTGTTCTAACTTTTAGCACTTGGATGTAGACTATTAACTGCCTTAAAGAAGGTTTCAGTTCTCATCCCCGTTAGTTTATTTCTACGTGTTCCTGTTCCCTACCCGAAACACACCAAAAATATGTTATCTCGGATTAATTGGTTTTTGTTTTTCATGGAGGTGGTGCTGTTAGCTGTATGAAACGTTGGCTCAGGGATGAGAGAAATGCACTCTGAGGGGTTTAAGCGGACTTTACTTAGACAACACAACACAACCGCACATTTCCCTCGGCTGCAGAAGGAGAGGTTCCCTGCACAGCATCGGACAGGATTCTGAAGATCACCTTTTATAATGTGCTGTGACACCAGGGCTATTTTTGGGCAGGAACGCACAGGAACGGAGTTCCAGCTGGCTTCCAAGTTGGCCACGCCCAGCAGGGGCTCATTAGCATAACAGGCCACACCCAGCAGCAGAAACTCATTAGGATTGGCTACATTAGGGGTGTGTGGCCCAACATGCAAAGGAGTTACTGCTACAAAAAAAGGCCCTGGGTTTTGACAACAAACAAGGTAAACAGAATAAGAAGCAAAAGGTGGGTGTGGCTGGATGACCACACTTCTGGTAACATGGGGGTGCGGCCTAATGTGCTAATGAGCTGTGC